AGATATATATGCATGTGTGTTTAAAATAATTTTTTCACTATAATAAATAAAATATTATCCAAAATTTAGTATATCAAAGTTTATATAACAAAAAACTTGATCACAATATAAAAAATAAATAAATAATAATATTTACAACTGAGAGTTTATCTTCCATCACAGATAGTTTCTCACATTTTTCTTTCTCTCCATCTCTTGCCAATAATAATGATGTGATCAAAGAGATGAACAAGAAGGTATAACATTAATACATGGTCATGGAACTTTATAAAAAAGGTGTTGTCTCAAATGTAAAATCCTATATAATAATAATAGAATAGAAAAAGATAATGGTTAATGATAATTTGTTACATTAAATGAAGAATGATTATTTCCGAAATGTAAAATTTTAAATAAACTTATTATAAAACAAAAATGCATGAATCTGAGCCTAGAATGTCTTACAATATACTTACATTGATCACTAAAGCTTGAAACATAGCTCCTATGTAACCCTTCAAAAGCAACTTGATCATTTGATCATTTTTCACACACATACCAAGAACATAGAAAGCAAAATATACACGTTAAAAAAATACATCTCAGGTTAAACAAATTTTTGTGCGCAGTCACGCGACTTTTTTCCATTCTAAATTCAATTGAAGTCATATGTTTCACAACATAAAAAAGATCAACGATCGATTTTGTCACATGTGATAAAACGAATGTCCACTATGCTGCGTGTAACAGAGGTGGATTTAAGATACATCCGTCAACAACATCTGGAACAAATAATCTCAGATCTATAAAATTTTAATTTAGGATAAAATAATCATGGATCCATATAGACCACCTGCTTACAGTTAGTATTATTTACTTTTTTTTTTAGAAATTTTCAAGGCTTTATTTATAATTAATTTTAATTTTAAAATCACTAGATCAATATCGCCCGTCATACGAACGTCAATCTTTTGTTTTTCCAACTATTCAATCTTCTTATGTACAACAACAACCTGCAAGACCTAGTTACATTCGACCAAATTATAGACCAAACTATGGACATATGCAAATTAGTGGGAATGCAAGTCAGATAACTTCCACTCTGGGATCAGAAGTAGAGAAATTAACAACACTATTTATTGGTGGAATATCTACTGGTGTGACTGATGATTGGATGGAAAAAATTCTAAAGGTAGGATTTCATTAGTTATATTAGATTTGGTTGGAAGTAAATAAATAAGATATATAGATATATAAAACGTGTATATTATTGACATTATTATGCCGACAAAAACTTGATGATACTTTTACCCAAAAAAAAAAAAACCCCCCCAAATTAATCGTTAATTCAATAAAAAATTAATATACAGGTAAATATTTACCTGAAAGAAAATTATGGATTGCTAGCATTGAAGAAGGAAACTGTACAAACATATTGTGTCGGTAGTATTATCAGATTGTTGAACAAAATACGAGTTTTGACTATGAATTGTTGGAATTATTGTCGTTGAAATCAGCGTATAATTCTCCTGACTTGGTTTCAATAAAAATGAAAAATCCATAAAACCGTAATTAGGTTGCAACCCCCAATTTTATATGGCGCAACTATGGTTTCAAAAGAAGTCTTATCATCTGACCATACTTTCAAATTAGCACCCTTCCGAACCCCCATCTGGTACTTTGGCGCCGTTTTGAATAAGTAGTTACCATGGCATTTGTTAAAGATAAGTCAAATTCTTGTATAAAATCCGTTCTTGAGAATCTCAAGAAATGCTACCAATTATTAAATAAAAATGTTAAATAGTGATATATTTTAATAAAAATAGGACAAAAATATAAAAATTCAAAACCTTTTACAATAATTCGTGAATTGAGCATATTCCGAGGGATATTGCTGATCCATCTCCTTAATTGTAAATATTCCAAATCTTCACAATTGTCTCTTATTGAATAATAATAAAGTAAGTAATTCTTCTAAACATTCAACGTCAGTTAGATTGCCATTAACATAGAGGGTTTTAAGTGTCCTTCCACTAATTTTAATGAAATCCGATGATAGCTCATAACAATAAATATTTTAATAATAATAAAGATATTCAATTTTGGAAAAAAGCACGATTTTAAATTTTGAAATGTTGGAACAATCAAAGAATTTGTTTTGTTTTTTCCAAATCTTTCATAACTAATTATAGATTTTGAATGAAGTAATATTGTATCCTTGAGATTATCTGATAATATTATTTCAAAGTGTGAAATAAGAACTAATTTTTTATTTGATGTTTTGCTTTTAATTAGTTGAACAATGATATAACTACTGCTAACATTAAAAACTATTCGTAAAACTTGGATATTTTTATAATCTATCAACAAATTCACTACAATAATCAAAACCACAAGAAAATTCATAAAGGTTTCGAAAACATGCATCAAAACTATGACAGTTGATCAACTCCTCGCGTGCACAAGTCTCTTCACATGCTAAATTAATGTATCTAAGCTTTCTTATAATCTAAAATAAGTTTTAGTAACCTTTTTCGTATTGATTTTCATTGCAGCCTTTTAATTAGTGACTTCATTTAAAAATCAAAACGATAAAATTCTAATTCAGTTGTAAATTTAGCATAATTGTGTAAAGGTGGTTTCTCTAATAATTCAAAATTTAATTCGATCTCGTTTTCCGCCAAGAAATCCTTATTAATATGTTGGTGCTGCAATGGAATTGTTTTCTCATAAATATGGGTTAATGATATTATGCAAGAATGTAGTGTTTTATAATTTTTATAATTAATCACTTAAAAGCTCTGATGGTACATTTATAAACACTTTTTATTTAATTATCCCTTAATTCATTCGTGATCCTTTTTAGGATTTTGATGGTGATCGACGGGGTGCATTTGCAACATTTTATACAGCAAAAATCGTCATTTTGTAGAACAAACATTTGGATAAACGTTTTTTTTGCAGAGATTATGGGTGTTGGTCTGTTCCAACTTTTTTTGTTCCTTTTTTTTAATTATTCTACGCCTTTTAGTTCTATAATTATTGTTACTACTATTTTAATCACTAATTTCCGCTTTTTGTTCCTTAACTAAATTACTACGTAATTATGGACAACTGAAAAAGCTGACAAAAAAATGTGAAAAAAGTAGTATATACACAAATGAAATTATTATTCATAACATGATTTTAATTATGAATACATATTCGAATATTCAATGAAATATCCATCCAGTCACACATGAATATTAGGTACTACATACCAAATTAGGTATGCTAAAAATATGGCCGTCCAATCGTGTTTCGGGCATGTGACCTAACTCTTTCGTGTTTTTAATATATATTTTTTATATTCGAATTTTGTTTATTTCATATAAATTAATTTTAAAAGAAAGATTAATGTCACTTTTTGACAAAGTGAAAGAACAATCAATCAACTGTTTAATTAAAATATTTTGGGTTTTGTTTATATAAAAGTAGAGTTTCTATTCGTAATACAAATTACAAGATTATTTTTACCTAGAGATAATGGAATATTATGTTTAATATTATATTATGATTAAGTAATGGGATTGATCTACAAAGAATGATTAGTATCGTCAATAGAATTCGAGTGTGGTAATAACTGATTCCCGAATAGTATTTGATTGAGTTTTAACTTTATTTTTTTAGAACAATTGAAATACATTGTTATTCCTTGATGAGTAATAAAGAAAGGGAGTCAAGTTTTTTAGATGACGAGTGAAAGTATAAAACGAGGTTAGTTGAAATATTAAAATCCCCATTAATTCCATAACATCATCGACACAGGAGGGTCGAATTAGCAGAATACATACTGGTTAAATATTTAATCAAAAATCTTTAAAAATTTGGTTTATAAAGTTTTTACTATAGATGCATAAATGTAATTTATAAATACATAGCGTAATCTTAATATATAATATATTATAACAATAAGTTTATAGAAAATTTTCAACCTTGAAATATATATTTTTAATAATTATAATTATGATTATTATTATTATCATTAGTAGTAAATTATTAGTGAATTATTAGTAAAATAGATACATATTGATTATTACGGCTATTGAAATAAACTTAATAGATAAAGATTGAATAATTCAGTATCGTCAATTAGTGAATAGTTTTCAATATTTAGAAGCGGCAAAATGTTGTTATAATAATTATAATCATTATAATCATCAAAATTATTATAAACAATGTTATTATCGATTGTTGTTGTCGTCGTCGTCGTTGTCGTCGTCGTTGTTGCTGTCGTCATATCTTGAATTAATGATTGTCCTGTTTCCGGTGGTACCACTTTTATTGCCGTCGGCATTGTTGCCAGAGTTGTTGCTAATGATGGAAATAATTCTAATCCTTCTTGAGCTATTTCTGGCGTAGGAGTAGGAGTTGTTTCTGGAGTTCGTGAAGGTGTTATTGTCGGTGTTGGAATCGAAATTGAAAATGGAGTCGAAGTTTTTGGACAAGGTGGGGCAGATCTCCTGTTGTAATAAGGAGAGTAAGACGTTGATGTAGAAAAAGGTGGAAAAGGAGATAACGACGAAGATGATTGGAATGTTGATGATGGCGATAATAAAGGAAGAGTCAAATTATCAATTGATGAGTGGTTTATGACTTGTAC